TCCTGTAAGTTTATTGGCTAATTAAAGAGGCAAGGAGCGATAATAGAAAGATTATTGGACTAGGAGTCAGGTAGCCCTAACTCAGATCACTTGAGCTTTTTCAGTCCGTTTCCTCATCTGTCAAAAAAGGGGATAAAAATACCAGCAGTACCTGCTTCATGCGGCTATTGCAATGCTCACATAACATAATGCATGTAAAGCAAATATTTACACATCTGCCTTTTTTAATTCCCTTGGTTTTCCCAAGATATGTGGCAGAAAGTAGAAGAATAATGTATGTTGATAGGAATGTGATGCTCTAAGGAGGAGAGATTCTCATATTGGTTGGAAGCAGATGACCTCTAAGACCTCCCACAGCTCTAGGATTTTATGAATTTCTTTCCACATGTTTAATTTTTCTGGGCTCAATTCAATTCAACAAACATTTATTAAGTGCCTACTATATGCAAGACACTATGTTAGGCATTGGTGGGGGTACATCAAAGACAAAAACAAAAAAACCCCTGTCCTCAACGAGCTTACATTCTGCCAGAGTATACAACATGTACACAGATAAATAAATAATATATGCATAGTAATTTCAAGACAGAGAGGGAGGGAGGGAAGGAGGAAGGCAGAGAGGGGGAAAGGGGGAGAGAGAGGGAGAGGGGGAGAGAGAGAGAGAACACAAGAGCAAGAGCATGTGAGCATTACTGGGGGGAATTGGGGACAGGCTTCTATGTAGCACCTGAGTTGTACTTTGAAGGAAACTAAGAATTCTAGAAGGTGGAGGTGAGAGGGAGTGCATTCCAGATATGGCAAGCTCTATCAGCTTTGTCTGCTTTCTTATCACAACACCTGTATTAAGAAGGCCTTTATGACTTCTTAATTGCCCAGATCACTTTTCCTTAGTTTCCTCATTAAAGACAGATTGTCAGAGTAGTTGTGTAGTTTGACCACTTTAGTATCACTTGTCCGATTTCCATCATAATTTTTAAAGGGTCTACCTTGATATTCATAGTTTTGTACTCCCTTAGGGCAGCTTTGAAATTCAGCTTTTCCGCTGCTGTTGAGTTCATTTTCCCTGTTGTCATTTCCTTTTGAGCCTTAGTTGATTCTAGAGATCCATGTTTGGTCATTGCCTCTGCTGTCACCTGTCTTCTCTGCTCCTCTGGTTACCAGTTACTGTTGTTGCTGACTGACATCTGCAGGTTTCTGTTGCTACTAGCTGCTGCTGTTCCTAGACACCTCTGCTGGGTAACCCCGAATCCCTTCAAGACCATCAGCCACCTTTTCAGACAGCACCAGACTGCCTTCTGTTGTTGACTACCTTATTGTTCTGCCAGCCATCCCTTTTCTTGCTGCTGTTGAACACTTTCTGCTGCAAAATCCATTGCATGATCATGGCTGCACCTCCTAATTTAGGACCAAAAAAGATAGTATAAAAAGTGTGCATATTACGCAAGTAAATAAAGCAATTTTAGCAACTGGATTCTGTTCTGGAAACTGGAGTATGTAAATAAGAAAGATAATCCTTTGAAGGGATGTAAAACAGGGCTACTTATGATGATCTATTTTTGTCACAACTAAAAAACTCTATGTCTAATCTTTCTTACCATGGACACTTTATTATAATAGAGTGATGTAATGAAAAGTGTGCCCAATTTGGAGTTAGAAGACTTGATTTTGAGTCTTGGCTCTGACCCTACTGGCTGGGTGATTTGGGCAAAGTACTTTAACCACCCGTTCAGACTCAACTTTCTTGTGTGTAAAAAAAAAAAAAAGTGGATAATGCTTGCATTACCTACACTTCATAGGGTTGTTGTGAGGAAAGTGCTTTATAAACCTTAAGTGTTCTAGATGAATATGAATTGTAGCAGAAGAATAAGTACTATCCCAGGACTGCACTATTGACCAGAGTTTAGAACAACCCAAGATGGATGCATCGGCAAGAAATATGATTCAGAAGTCTGGGAAGTGAGTATACATAACCTGTGTCTTTTATCCAATATTGAGGTGCTTAAAAAACAAGCTATCCAGTTTTCAGATGAAGAAATTAAAGCTCTCTGTAGTCATATGAAAAATGCTCTAAATCACTATTGATAAGAAAAACGCAAACTAAAACAGTTCTGAAGTACCACATCACACCTGTCAGATTGGCTAACATGACAAAATAGGAAAATGATAAGTGTTGGAGAAGATGTGGGAAAATTGGAATAATGCCTTGTTGGTGGAGATGTGAACTGATCCAACCATTCTGGAGAGCAATTTGGAACTATTCCCAAAGAGTTATAAAACTGTGCATACCCTTTGATCCAACGATACCACTACTAGGTCTATATCTCAAAGAGATCATAAAAATGGGAAAAGTACCCACATATTTATAACAGCTCTTTTTTGTGGTGGCAAAGAATTGAAAAATGAGGGGATACCCTTCAATTGGGGAATGGCTGAATAAGTTGTGGTATATGAATGTAATGGAATACTGTTGTTCCATAAGAAATGATGAGCAGATGGCTTTCAGAAAAACATGGAAAGACTTACATGAACTGATGCTGAGTAAAGTGAGCAGAACTAGGAGAACATTGTACACAGGAACATCAACATTATGTGATGACTAACTTTGATAGACTTATCTCTTCTTAGCAATGCAAGGATCTAAGACAATTCCGAAAGACTCATGATGGAAAATGCTATCTACATCCAGAAAAAGAACTATGAAGTCTGAATGCAGATCGTAGGATACTATTTTCTCTCTCTTTTTTTTTCCTTTCTCATGGTTTTTCCCTTTTTGTGCTGATTCTTCTTTCACT